ACGAGCAGGAGCGTCGACTCGACGAGTACCCGCGAAGGTTCGCGAAGCAATATGTAAAATCCTTGCCGTATACGGACTCTAACAAGGGGACTCGGCGAGTCAGTTGTCTACTCGACGAGTAGACCCTGTTTTGAGAAATCTATAAATAAAAGCAACAAACCTGAATTGAGTCTCTCTTCTGGCTTTTGGAAGATTACTTGGCGACTAAGGAGACTGCTGGAGGTCTGAAGAACGTGAGAAGAACCCTAATCCTCAATTCTAAGAAGATTAAGGCAACTTAGGTTTAATTTTCCACTCTACCTTTGAATAGAATTATGTTTGGCTTGGTTGAATTCGTTTTTAGGTTTTATTAATTACTGCAATTATGCATTAATAACGTTAGTTTTCTGTTTAGGGAAGACAAGTTTGCTCCTATGGATTAATTTACTCTTTTGATTAATTGTTATGTGGTGAATCTTGTTAATTTAAGCTTGTTAAAAACCCTTATGCATTAACCATAACTATTTTCTGTTTAATGTGTAAGTTAAGATGCATGAACATCTCTTAATTGCTTATCTCATATGATTTATATGAACACATTGCTATATGCCTAGGATTAGTGAATATGAAACTAGGATTAACTAGAGAATGGGTAAATTAATGTGTGAGCTTATGTGATACACCATCAACAAGAGGTTAATTGAATCACCAATTTAATTAGCTAATTACAAGTCTTAATTAACCCGAATAATTAAACTAGGGAATTTATTAATTTAACCACTTGATCACTGCTTAAATTAATCTATTTTCTAAGGATTAGTAATAACGAATGTGAATCTAATCACCTTAGTCGGTAACCAATAACAATTAATCCATAACATTACCATAAAAATTAACCATAGGAGTAAATGAATCAAACCTAAACAGAAACCCTTTTGATCATTGAATTTAGTAGGTTTTTACGTGTTTTCAGCTGTTAGTTGATTAGTTAAGTTTTTAGTAAAGTTTCTAGTCTTGCAAAACTAGAGAAAACCCCTCTATTTTACTAATTGTTTTAGATAATCCTAATAGTTAGATTAATTTCCGTTCCCTGAGTTCGATACCCTACTTGCTAACTCATATTACCAATTGACAGGTCCACTTCCTTTTGTGTGTCAAATTCATAAATTAAAAGTAGGATAAAACTAATTAGTTTAACACATCAACGACTTTACCTTACCGAGGGCCATCCAGTCGTTTCCGCCTGAACTTCGTCGTTCCCAGCTTCCTCCATCGATTTCGGCGACTTTCCGGCAGCATACGAGGTTGGGCTTCGGGTTTGCGGCTTCGTCGGCAGTGGGCGTCATCGGTAGCAACCATGGCGGTCGATTCTCAGCTGGGCGGCGGCGGATGAAGAAGGTCCGCATGGTGGTGGCGGCTGTTGCATAACATTAGGGTCAAGGGTTTAAGATGCGCCAGGGAGAAGGCACTGATGTAATCCCGTGTTCCATTTGAAACCTTGAGGCATTATTACAAGTCTGGCCCTCCTTACAAGATTTGTTTTTCAATCGAAGTCCAAAAGTTACCCTACAACCCTCCACTTGTGAATTATTTGCAAAACTAATCCGAAAATTATCTTTTAACCCTCTCTTCCATAATTCCTTTCATAATAAGTCCCGAAGTTACCAATTAGCCCCCTAAACCTTCAAATCTTTTCAATTTAAGTCCATTAATTACGAGATGCACCCTGACTTCTGAAATCCTTTTTTAATTAAATCCAGAACTTGCACCTCTAGCCCCAACTTCTAAAATTGTAACAACTAACCCTCGAGACCAACACCCTGCTATATAATTATTTATTTTAGGGTTACTATTCATTCATTAATTCGTTTATTTATTTATTAAATAAACGGGGTGTTATAGGGATTTTATTATTCTTTTGTGCTAGTGTGTGTGTGTGTATTGTAAGAAATTGTATGTACATTGGATTGTTAAAATATTACTCAAACCGCCGCCGTGTATGGGTGGCTGCCGCCTCCTGCCGCCATGGACCTCCGCCGACCACCACTGCCAGAGGTGGTAGTGGGTGGTGCCCAATTTATTAATTATATATGTATTTATTTAATTAGATAATCAATTAAATTTAGGGGTTGGAAACCCTAATTAGGGTTTAGAAAACCCTAATATTAAGAAACCCTAATTATAGAGTTGGTCGGGACCCGCGTTAAAACTATTAATTGAACCTAAAATAATAACTTAATAATTCCTTACAATTAACTCGATGCAATATTGGACTCAATGGATTAATTCCTTAATGTGTTAAGTGAGGAACACTAACCCTAGTTATCATTTTTTTTTTGTGAAAACCCTAGAATCGAGGAACTTTATTTTGGGCAATAATCGGGCGTGCATTTGGGCTGTTGACTGGATTTTTATTTCACTCGAAAACGACTAAGTCAGACCTTAATCAATCATACTCTTAAGTGATTATGTCCCCAATGGGTTAAGCGTTCTTACTTAACCGTAATCGTCATTTCTTGTGAAACCTTAATCGTCATTTCATGTGAGGTGGTCACTGTTGCAAGTGACTATGACCTGTGATCGGGTATTGACTCAAGTATCTTCCTATAGGTGATTGGAAGTGAGTTGAAGCTGGTAGAGTCCTTCATTTCTACGGTGGTTTCTGCACGCACATCCAGGTGAGTTTCACCTCACTGTACCCGTGGGTCTAAGGCACCAAGGACGGCCCACCAGTATTGATTATCTGCTAGTAGAGGGATGTCATAGGGACCGTATATAGTCATGTAGGATAGGCTGAGGACTCTTGATATAAGCTCTCTTACATGTTCCTTGTTTGGTTGTGGTTTTAGAGTAGGGTCACCTGTTCGGATTACTATCTCACCTCTGAGTATATATGGTTATGCATTCCTTGGATTGTTGATATTTAGTATGTTGTTATGTTGTAGTGATCTGATAGATATGTGTTTTGGTATTGAGTATGCTAATATGATGTAGTGATCAGTTAGATCTGTCTCCTGGTATTGAGTATGTTGCTTTGTGGTAACAACCTGTAGAACTGTATGTTATATGTGCTTGCTGGTTATCATATATGGAGTGCCCTTAGGGACTATCGGTGGTTATGTAGGATAGCCTGAGAACTCTTGGTCTAGGCTTTCTTGCATGTTCCTTGTTTGGTTGTGGCTCTAGAGTAGGATTATCTGTTCGGGTGGCTATCTCACCTCTGGTTACTTACGGTTACGCATTTTATGGGGGTAGCTGGTGGCGGGACTGTATTTGGTGAGAGGATTAGTAGGCAGTAGTGAGTTGTATGATTGTTGTTGCATGTATTATGTGCCTACTTGATCATGATTGTTTATATGTCGACATATTATGTTTGGTTGGGTTGAGGCGGTCCTGCTTCGTGCGGTAGGCCAAGATATCCGGTGCGGGCCGACTGTAAGCCGTAGGCACGGAGGCTCGGGAGGAGCGGTAGGGTTGAGGCGGTAGGCCAACAAACCCTGGGTATTCCAACCCGATGGTTGATTGGACCCGACATATTGGTATTCCAGCCTGAGGCTGATTGGGCCAGGCATGAGTATTTGTGTTTATGATTGTTTTTGTGTGGGGGTATTTTGGGGGAAACTCACTAAGATTTGTGCTTACAGTTTTAATTTATTGTTCCAGGTACTTCTGATGATTATCACAAGGCGGAGGCGTGACCGTACACATCCTCAGTTTTACAACAGATTGGATCTTGGGAAACTCTGATTTTTAATTAATGTCGAAAATACTATTTTGTAAACATTTTATTAGTAAAAGGATCGTTTTGAAAAGTTTTAAGATTTGTTAAAATTTTTAGGTCGTTACAATAATTCTTTCTTTTATTTTCAATATAGATGTATGTCACAACAATAAGGCAGAAAGAGGTGTTTGTGACCATTAAATATGAAAATGTAAGATATAATTTAAGAATATTATATCAACTGTAAATTGTAGATTTGTGATATTTATTTCTATGAAAAATATGTTGTTTGATTGCTAGGTTACATATCTGGGTTTTTTTGTAATTTGATTTTGACAAGTTTGATCTAAATTTGATAATTAAAGCAGGTAGGAAATATATGTGCTAATGATTTTAAATTTGTATTGCCTTCCAGAAACCAACTGTAGCCTTACAGACCGTTCCCTCATATCCTAATAGATCTTAACATTCCCCAAACTCAGTTACAAGAAGTCATGGATACACTTCTTGAACCAATCCTCTAAACTGAATTTCATTTGTTAGTTGGATGCAGCGACCAAAATGCAAGATTTGTGAAAGTTCATTATTATTTAGTAGTGTTAACTTTTGGAAAATTATGAAACTAATATTATATTTTTGTTCATAACATGTTTTTTTGTAATAATTTCTTTGATCGGAAGATATGTATATGTGATTGGGTGTAGCCTAAAAAATCATATTTTAATTCTTATAATGAAAAAATACTTTAGAAATTGACCAAATTACAATGTCTGAATTTGATGTTTACGGTTATGGCAATGCACTTTAATTGTAATGTTTATCGAATTTCTTTGCAGAATTTAATGTTGCTGGTAAATATAACAACTTATTGTTGCTTTTGGTTTTATATGACCAATATGAAAAGAGCCATATGAGCCTCCATGAGAGTTGGTATACCGAACAAAGTCAATTCATAAAGCTACTACACAACATGTTTTAATCAATGAGTTACATCGTGTTGTGATAAAACAAATATCACATGGATCATTTATGTTAAAAATTACTGTATTAAAAAACCAAATTGCTCTTTAATAAATTTGGTTCAAAAAATCTAAAAATGAATTTAACTAACATTTTTTATTACAATTCCATCAAAAACAATACCACCTACTAATATGATATGTATTTAATCTATGTCATAATCTAATTACCCGAAATAACTCAAATCCAAAGAACACTACTATAAATCTATAATGCTATGAAATTGGGCCTTGAGTCTAGTAATTTCTTTTAAGTTTAGCCCATTGAGTTTATTTCACTTATGGGCCCGTTTGTTTGGGTCTTAATACCACTTAATAAGGGGTATGTCTGAATCGGTAAGATTCAGACCGTTTGTTTACATCTTATTTTGGGCTCTTAATCTGAATTTTACCACTTACCGATTCAGATTTGCAATCCCATCTGAAATTAAAAAAGACGCCCTAATCCTTTTGTGTTCGGCTCCTTCAATCGCGTGGCTTCCATCGACATCTCCAGCCACCGAAAGATCTTCCTCCCTATCGCCATCTCCTGCCGCCGTCTCAGCCCACCCTACCGCCCCGTCGCAGCCCTCTCAGCCTCGCCATTAACGACTCCAGCAGCAGCAGCATCATCAGGTTCGTTTTCTTCTCTTTTCTCCTCCTTTCTTCTCGTTTTTTTTATGTTGCTTCAAATCAGATGCGTTTTCTTCTCCTTTTCTCGTTTTCTTCTTGCTTTTCTACTCTTCCTCCCTATCGCCATCGTTTTTTCTGATGTTTTTTTTTGATGTTTTTTTTTTCTCGTTTTTTCCCCTGTTGTTCTTCAAAATCTGCTATTGTCTTTTGTATGTGAAATTTATAATTGGAAATATCTTCATTGAATTCTAAAATTATGTTGATTGCTGAAATATGAGACTTGATTTCTAGTTGCTGAATTGTGATTGATTTGTGCTGTTATGTGAAATTTGTAATGTTGAGATATGTTGTTCATTTGTTGAAAACTTGAAATATGTTGCTGATTTGTGATTGGTTTGTGCTGTTATGTCCTCATTTGTGTTGATTTTGGCTGTTTATGGGTAAATTTTTGCTGTTAGATGCTAATTATGTGCTGATTTTTGCTGATTATGCATTAATAGTTGTTGTTAAGTGCTGAATTATATTGTTATATGCTGATTTGTACAATTATGTGCTGATTTGTATTGTTATATGCTGATTTGTTATTGAAATGATACTAGACATGTCACAAAAGAAGCCTAGGATTAGTTGGAAGGTAGAAGCTATTGAAGAAGCTTTTTTGGAAGCATGTTTGAAAGAAATTACAGTTAATGGTAGGGAAGGGGGTAGTTTGAAAGCACTCTCTTGGAGGATTGTAGCAGAAAAATTAGCAAAAGAACATAATTTCTTTGTGGACCAAAAGCAAATGAAGAATCGCTACGATTACTTAAAGTCAAAGTTTTCAGCTTGGTTGAAGTTAAAAAACAAAACCGGGAATGTTTATAATCCCGTAACCAACACCTTTAATCTTTCAGAAGAAGAATGGCAACTAGAAATGAAGGTATTTTGCATTTTTATAATAAAAAATTATTATTAGGCTTTAATAATCTAATATAATAATTTTCAAGCAGTCGAACAAACATGTTGAAAGTTTGAGAAGAGCGCCACTACCCTTCCCCGACCTTTGTACACAATTGTTTGAAGGCGCGACTGCGACAGACATTCATAGTTAGGGACCAACTTCTACCCTTCCCCGTCCTACTCAAGAGTCAAGCCACTATAGTTTGCATGACTTTGATGACATCGATTGCACTCAACAAGAAACTGTAGGTCTCAGTGACGAGTCATCCGCTCAATCAAAAAAACAAAAGACTACAGATACGACAAAGAGTCAAAATAAAAGTAAAGATAAGGGTAAAGATAAGGGTAAAGATGCATCAAATTCGAGATTGCTTGAAATCGGGGAAGATATTGCCACAGTTGCTAAAATATTTGTGGAAAAACATACTTCTTCAAATTTGGATGCGTGTATGGAAAAGTTGGAGAAGTTAGGATGGGGAATATTTGATCCAAGATACACTACTACTGTTGCTCTTTTTGGTGAAGGTGCAGATAAGAGGCACGTGTGGTTAACCATTGATCCAACTATTTGTGAGAATTGGGTCAAGACTGTTGGAGCACATTATGGAATGTTTCGCTAAGTAGATTTTTTGAATGTTTTGATGTTTTTTTTGGATAACTAGATGCTTGGTTTGAACTAGATGGTTTTTTTGGATTACTTGATGTTTGGTTTGAACTAGATGGTTTTTTTGGATTACTTGATGTTTGGTTTGAACTAGATGGTTTTTTTGGATTACTTAACATGAATGACTTGATGTTTTGGATTACTTGATGTTTTGGATTACTTTATGTTATATGTTGTTAATATAATTGTTATGTATTTTCAAAATAACAGATTGCTTATGGATTCGGATGAAGAAATTGCATTTTTCATGTTACTATGTTGCTATTGGTTGAATCTAGCATCCAACAGAATTGGAAGGGCAATTGATAATGATTCGGAAATGAGCGGTCATCAACATACACAAGAATTGTTACATGGAACTTCTACACAATGTCATGAGTTGATGCGTCTTTCACGTGAAGCATATGTACTTTTATGCAATCATTTTAGACGAAACAATTGGTTGCAAAGTAGTAGGCATATAAGCGTTGAAGAAAAGATGGCTATGTTCTTGACAACTATATCATATAATAAACGGTTCAGGATTATCAAACGAAGGTTTCAACACTCCACAGAAACAGTTCATAGATGCTTTCATGAGGTGCTAAATGCAATGATGATTTTTGCAAAAGAAGTTATAGTGCCAACGAATTCTAATGCAACTGTGAATTCCTCAGAGAGGCATCGTAAGCTAAAAGAAATCTTTCCTGGAGCAATAGGTGCGTTAGATGGAACTCTTGTACATGCAGTCGTGCCTGCTGATCAACAAACTCGCTATAGGGGAAGAGGAAAAGGTGAATGCTTTCAAAATGTTTTAGGAATTTGTGATTTTGATATGATATTCACATTCGTATGGGCCGGTTGGGAGGGTATAACACATGATTCACGAGTTTTGAAAGAAGTTGCATGTAACCCGACTTCAGACTTTCCGTTCCCTCCTCCAGGTTTTTAATTCTTTTTAAATTTATTCTAAAATACAATATTAAATTTCTATATATAATACTTCCTTCACTCATGTGTATAGATAAATATTACCTTTGCGATGCTGCATACACCAACACTCGTGGATTTATGACTCCTTACCGCAACACGAGGTATTGGTTAGCCGATTATCGACGGCGACGTGCGTTAACTAAGGAAGAAAAATTCAATCATGCGCATGCGCAACTCAGAAATGTTATTGAACGTGCGTACGGTGTTTTGAAGGCGAGATTCCCAATCCTAAAGCGAATGGCTCCTTTTCCTTTTTCAGTGCAAAGAGATATAGTCGTTGCTTGTTTTGCAGTCCACAATTTCATAAGGAAATGCGATATTCATGATGAGCTATTTATGGCGTTCGAGGAGAACAATGCTCAAGCACAAGGGGGAGAGAATGATGGCGAAAACGTACACGATATGGAATGGGGTTCACAAGGAAATGAATACATGAATAATTTGCGTGACCAGATTGCGAATCAATTGGGGTGAAATTAAATTTGTAGGATTTTATTTGGATTTTATTATGATTTTGTGGATTTAAAAATATTTATGTTTGATTTGGATTTGTGTTTAATTTTGATTTATGCTACATTTGGATTTTATATGGTGTTTATATTTTTTTAATACATATTTAAGAAATTTATTAGGTTATTTTCTAAATAAACAGTTGAATTCAATAAAAAATAAAACAGAAGGGTAAAATGGTCATTTTAATAATTCAGCACAACAATTCAGAGGTCCCAACCAAACAGCATGTTAAACATTCAACTCTTAAAATTTCAGACCCTCTTAGAAATTCAGACCTCTTAAAATTTCAAATCTTAAAAATTCACATCATGCCAAACAGCCCATATCTCCATCAAGTTTTTACCATTTAGTTATAACATAAATATTTAATTAAAATATTAAAATAAAAAATTAAAATAAAAAGGAAACACCCTCAACGTTGGTCTAGTATCGCCCGGTGCCCTAGTCCCCCGCTCGGATTCAAAGATCAGACTTACCAAATTACAGAAAGAAAATGGGGAAAATGTCATAAACCAAACGGAGTTAGGGCAGTTTCAATTGAGTGTGAGCGCGCCACATTCACTCGACCTCCTTCTCTATCTCCCAATTAAACCCCTCTCCCTTTTTTACTTCACTAATTTTGAATCGATAACGAACGAAGAACAGGTACTGTTTTTTATTTATTTATTTTTTTTCCTTTTCTTTTCTGCATTCAGTTCGATTGCTATGTGTGTATGTGATTGTTTTCTTGTAGTTTAACGTGTTCAGTTGACATCATTCTACTTATAATTCTTAGTTACCTTGCCACTTGTTTTTATCCCTATTCAATCCGGGGTTTTAGAATCCTTGTCTTTGAGTTATCTTGAACTGAAAGTAGTTGGTTTCTACTGGAAGAATCAAGTTTGGTGGTGAATTAGCTGCCTTAACTTGAATGATCATGACTTTAGCAGATCTCCATGGAGTTTTTCTTTGTCATTCTTGTTTCTAGATATTGTTTTTATGTTTGGTGCCAAACCTCGAGAACAATTTTCCAAATTTGATATCAGCATTGTTCTGTAGGTGGTGGTTGTAGTCTTTAATGTAGTCAGCACTTTTTTTTGAAAACTTCAGAATCATGATTAATTTGGAATTCGAGAAGGAAGTTATTGACTTCCAAACTTGAGTTAGATTTCTTTTTATGGGGAGAGATCTTCATCTTGCATGTAATGTAACTAAGATAGTGGTAACATGGTTATAGTCTGGTGTTTTCATATTGTACAAATCTTCAAGATCAAAGGACAACCACCCCTGAAACTGTTCAGGATCACCTTATTTCCATAGAAGTTAGTTACATGTTTGCTTTTGGAGTTACTATTAGATGACTGCATAACTATTTGAACTTACAAGAATAGAGTATGGATGAAATTGTTATTGTTTTTGTAAATGTTATACAGGTCACCTGAGTATTGCAAGTTAGTACAATCAAATTTTTTTCAGTGGGAGAAGGACCTTAATGCAATAATAACCAATGGGTCGTCCAGAACCTTCTGTGTTGTTTGCACAGACATTTACCCATGCACACCTTGATGAATATGTTGATGAGGTATGAACCTTGTTCTACTAATTCCTACATATATTTCACATGCAAACAGTTGGCATTTTTCAAATTGTTTCGAGTTTAAGTTCTTTGCTTTATCATGGCTATCTTTATGAAAGTTATTTGACCTCATGAAAGATTTAATCTAATATGAGTATATGAAATAAAAAGTAGCCTCAAGTTTTCTTTCAGTATGGATTTAAAGTTTCCCTCAGCAGCCAATAACAAAACTATTTTGAATTGGCATGTTCATAGTAATTTAGTGACCAATATCTTGCTATATTTTTTGCAGGTTATATTTTCTGAACCTGTTATTGTCAGTGCTTGTGAGTTTCTTGAGCAGAGCTCATCATCATCATCGCCTGCAGTAACACTTATGGGGTACACCATCCAACATATATGACCTATTTTTGTACATTAAATCTCATGAATAGCCTAAGCTTCAGTGTTATGTTTCAGTAAATCTCTTATGCCATTTTCTCTTGTGTATAGGGCCACTTCACCTCCTTCATTTGCTTTAGAGGTTTTTGTTCATTGTGAAGGGGAGGCAAGGTTTAGGCGACTATGTCAGCCTTTTTTGTATTCTCCTTCCTCTTCAAATGTCCTTGAAGTTGAGGTATTTATATAAATTATTTTAACAATGATATTGATACTCTTTCTTATATTCTAATACATTTATCATTTTCAGGCACTTGTAACAAGTCATTTGGTTGTAAGAGGAAGTTATCGCAGCCTTAGTTTGGTCATATATGGAAACACAGGGGAAGATCTTGGTCAATTCAACTTAGAAGTTGACTTAGACACCTCTTTGACCAATACTGTGTCTATTATAGAGGGTGACCTTGAAGACCTTCCTCCTGCTCTAAATCCTGCCAAGTCAGCCATTGAAGAACCTATATCTTCCCTCAAGTCATTGACTTTTAAACCTATTGCATCAGATATATCAGTCGACATGAAGCAGTTTCTACAACTATCTTTCAAGATTTTAGAGATGCCAAATAAAAGAGAAGATGCTTTGAATACAGTTGTTAATTCTCTTGTGTCTGCAGCAGTAACGTATTCAACTCAAACCTTGCAATGTGTATCCACAAGTCAACTTAGAGAGGTTGACCATGAAGAATCTTCCTTTGACTTTAGTCAAGCCAGAAAAGATCTCCTTGATATATTTCATACCCTTCTAACAACCTCATCACCTGAAAATTTGACACTCGAATCCGAGGGCGATTTGGTAACTTCCAAACAGTTGGTGGATACTTTAAGTCAACATTTTCTCATTTTCACTGATTCTGAAAGTCTCATACGTTCTCAGCTTCCACAGGTTATTTGCTCTCTTTCTCTCTGTTAGTTAAATTTGATGATGACTAATGTCTCAACTTGTAGTAATTACGAAACTGACCCTATGAGACTTTGTTTTCTCAGAGCAAGCTGCTCATGGTGTGGTTGAGTGCTGCACTTCTCTTATGTTCTTCTAAAGGGAGTTGCTTCAACTTTGTTAATGGAGGCTGCATGAAGCAACTGTGTGACATTTTTTCAAAAAACGTGCATTCTAGTGGTATCACATTGATGCTTCTTGGAGTTATAGAACAAGCTACTCGGTATTCTATTGGGTGTGAAGGGTTTCTAAATTGGTGGCCTCGTGAAGATGATAAGATGCCAGCTGGCACCAGTGAAGGGTATAATCAATTACTTAAATTGTTGATGCAAAAACAACGCCATGACATTGCTTCTCTTTCCACCTACATTCTCCATCGTATACGAACCTATGAAGTTGCTTCTAGATATGAGGTGTTCATTTTATTTATCTTTTTTTTCTTTTTAATCTTTTAATCTTTTGTTGGTTATTTACCTTTTTGGACATGCTTACAGTTTGCTGTACTACATGTGCTTGGAGGTAATGTTATGTCAGTGAAAATGGACATGCTTGCAAGTGCTAAACTCCAACTCAAAAAACTTTTGGTGAGTTACTTTTATGTTCTTTTTTCTTATTCTATTATAGTTCTTGTTTATTATTTATGTTTCTGACTAAATGTTTATGCAGAAATTGATAAATTCCAGCTCACTAGTTGAAGATCCTTCTCCAGTTGCAATCACAAGCAGATCACTTGTTCTTGGTGAAACTGATGGATTGTTGTCATACAAAGCTACAAGCAAGCTGATTACTTCATCAAATTGTCGCTTTATAAACTGGGATATTGACTCACATCTGCTTTTTCTTCTTAAGGTCTGTTTTTTTTAATTGTTTGTTTCAAGATATTCATTATTTAATTAATTTAATTTTGCTATACAGGAAAGGGGTTTTCTTCCTCTCTCTGCTGCACTTCTATCATCTTCTACACTGCGTTCTGAAGTGGGGCATGCTATGGAATTATTTATGGATATCACATCATACATTGAATCCATAGTTCTTTCACTTGTTTTTTGTCGCTCAGGTTTCTTACATGATGCTGTTATTACTATTTTGACCTCTGTTTTTCTTCCCCTTAGTGTTTATATTCTCTTTGTTTTGTTACTTGACCAGGGTTAATGTTCCTTCTGCTTGACCCTGAGCTCTCAACCACAGTTATTCTTGCCCTAAATGGATCTGATTCAAAGATTCAAGAGTCTATTCCTCTTCGTTATGCATCTGTTTTAATATCCAAAGGCTTTTTTTGTCGTCCACGTGAAATTGGAGTAGTTTTGAAGACACATCTGAGAGTGGTTAGTATCAAATGTTTGTTTGAAATTTGTTTTATTTATTCTAATTCCTTCTCTTTTCCCATTTTCTCCCTTTTCCACTTCTTATTCAGATGAATGTAATAGATCGTCTGATTACATCAGAGCCACATTCTGAAGAACTTTTATGGGGCTTATGGGAGCTTTGCTGTGTTTCCAGGTGTGATATATTAACTATTAAAAATCTTTAAATGATATTAAACCCCAAAAAAATTTCTAGTGGTTAATGCTTTTGTAAAATATTTTGCAGGTCTGATTGTGGACGCCAGGCTTTGTTGGCCATAGGACATTTTCCAGAGGTGGGCCCATTATGAAATCTATAGTTCCTTTGTTGAAAACAAAATACTTATTAAGGTTGTTTTTTGTTTCATGTATCCCTATTTTTTACTTTCCTTACTTTTTTTTTTCTTTTTTGTTTTCAGGTTGTTTCAGTTTTGATTGCTGCGTTACATTCTGTCAAAGAACTAGAACCAGTCTCTGTAAACAACGGTAATTCCTATTTTGCCCTTGTAGAAGTTCTCCTTTCACTCGTTTTCTAATTCTCAATACTAAATATTTAGGGACTTCACCTTCACCATTAAATCTTGCCATCTTTCACTCTGCTGTTGAGATCTTTGAAGTCATGGTTGTTGACACCACATCATCATCCCTAACCTCATGGATTTCACACGCCAAAGAGCTTCACAAAGCCTTACATTCATCCTCACCTGGATCCAACAGAAAAGACGCCCCCACAAGACTTTTGGAATTAATCGATGCTGCTGTAGTCTACCATAAAAATGGAGCTATTGGGCTCTTAAGATACTCTGCTGTTTTAGCTTCTGGTGGAGATGCACACATGGCATCCACAAACATTCTAGCATGTGATGAAAATCATGAAATGGATGTTGACAACGTTGTTGGTGTTGGCGATGCTTCCGGAACCTCTGATGGAAATGTAATCGATTCTCTTTTAGGGAAACCAATCACTGAGTCAAGATTTTTAGGCTTTACTCTTCGTGACTCCTCTGTTGCTCAACTCACAACTGCTTTCCGTATTTTAGCCTTCATTTCCGAAAATTCAGTAAGTAATTCTTTATCTTTATCTTTTTTTTTTCCTTTGAAATTAACTAACAAATGTTTTGATTGGATTAAGGTTGTTGCTGGTGCTTTGTACGATGAAGGTGCTGTGATGGTTGTTCATGCAGTTCTTATTGATTGTAAACTAATGCTTGAGAAATCCTCAAACAACTATGGTTAGTATTTTACTCTTGTTTATATACACATAATTAATTGCAATATATTTACAGTTTTTTTATTCACTTTGAGCAGATTACCTTGTTGATGAGGGAACAGAGTGCAATCCTACTTCAGACATATTGCTTGAAAGAAACCGTGAACAGAATGTAGTTGATCTCTTAGTTCCTTGTTTGTCACTACTGATTAACTTGTTGCACAAGTTAAAGGATACAAAAGAGCAACACAGAAACAAAAAACTCATGAAGGCTCTTTTACATTTGCATCGGGAACTCAGGTAGTAGTTTATACTTTATCATGCTCAGTATTTTAATTTAAATATTAGAAATTATATTCTTTTTCTTATATATTTATGTTTTGCAGCCCAAAGTTAGCTGCGTGTGTAGTTGATTTATCTTACCCTTATCCCGATTTTGCCCTTGGATTCGAAGCTGTTTGCCATCTTCTTGTATCTGCACTTGCTTGTTGGCCTGTATATGGTTGGACTCCTACTCTTTTTCATTTTCTTCTTGATAGTCTACACGCCACGTCATTGCTAGCAATGGGCCCCAAAGAAACTTGTAGTTTGCTTTTCCTTTTGGTAAGTTGTCAATTTTTACTTTTTTCTTTTTTGTTTTAAAAAAGTAATAATATCTTTTTCTTTTTTATATTTTGCTAGAATGATTTCTTACCTGATGAAGGCATCTCACTTTGGAAAAACGGAATGCCAATGTTGAGTGCTTTTCGCCAGCTGGCAGTTGCAACACTGTTGGGCCCCGAAAAGGAGAGAGAAATCAACTGGTACTTACAGCCTGGACATAAGGAGAAGCTGATTGGACAGTTGACACCAATTCTTCACAAGATTTCAGAGATTGTTTTACATTGTGCTATTAGTGTAAGTAAAATTACTCCCTTTCATATTATTTTCTTCTTTTTTTTTTCACTTTAGGATTTTCTTAACAAACAGGCATTGGTTGTTATACAAGACATGTTGAGGATTTTTATTGTACGCGTGGCATGTGTACATGCTGACAGCGCAGCCATACTTTTGAGGCCTATGATACTTTATATAGATGAGTGGCTTTCAGATCCATCTGCTTTAACTGATACAGAGGCATATAAAGTTCAAAGATTGCTTGATTTTCTTGCTAGCTTACTTGAACATCCACGTGCCAAGGTATTCTTTTATTTTATTTATGAAGTTGCTTAAAAGTTAATATTTGTTTGTTTTTAATGATTTATACTTTTTTTTGACAGCCAATACTGTTGAGTGAAGGGGCTGTTCAGATGTTATCTAAAGTTCTTAATACTTCACACAAGCTTAGTTGGTGCATCCCTGTGTGTAGGTCAATTTCTCTACTATCTGATTCTAGGTGAGTTTTTTTTTTTTTTTTTTTTTGTTAATATTTTTCTTAGCTATATCTATTAAGAATAATCTTTGATTTTTTTTTAGGAACAATGCAAAGATATTGACAGCAGAGGATTGTTCATTGCTTTTATTCAATCTTTTCAGGCTTGTCAAGGTAGGTTACTGCACAATGCTACTTATTCTCAGTTTGGGCAAATTGCAGGAAATAACAACTTACTTTACTCTTTTTATTTTTTCAATTTCATCTGATCTAATGATCCTTTTTATTTTTCCAGTTTCTTCCAGTTGGAAAAGAGTTAGTTGCGTGTCTATCAGCCTTCAAAGATTTGGGTTCCTCATCAGAAGGGCAAAATGGTCTTTTCTCAATTTTCTCACAAGTTCAATCCTTGTATGAAGAATCCGAACACGAAAACAGCCCATTAATTGATGGAAAGTTTGATCTCATTGAATTAAACAAAGCTCCTCCTTTGCTATTTTGCTTGAGAACTTTATTAAACTCCATTGAAACAGAAGATATTCCATCAGCTTCGTTGATAGAAGCCATTGAAGCTCTTTCATCAGGAGCTTTAAACTTTTGCATGGATAAAAAAAGGTCAGTTTCGTTTCAACAAATTTATCAAATATTTAATGCTCCATTTTAATTTTTAACACCTCCTTTTACACAGCTTGAACCTCAAGATGGTTAATCCAGTAAAATACCTGTTTGGACTTCCTTGTGGTATAAGTAATGCAAACAACTCTTCAGAGGAAAACATCAAATACATCCTTAAGTTGACATCTTTCACATCTTCTCCTCAGGTATGTATTCTAGCACTTTCCATTAATAGAAACTGCATAAATATAAGAACTCAATGTTTTGTTACCCATGAAATGCAGGTTAATGAATACGCAGACTCGTTATCACGTTTACTGCAAACGCCTAACGAATCATTGAAGCCAGATGTTATTTTGAGTGTTGTCGAGGAATCATTATTCCCAAAACGCCCCTCGAAGATACAAAAAATTTCAAATTTCACCCTCGACAGGGCCGAACATTACAATTTAAACACATACGGGGACAAATTCACATGGGAATGCCCCGAGAATTTACGCGATAAAACGGGTCAATCTCTGAGAAGAAAACTCACTCCTTTAGAAGGAACAAACAGGCGTCCTAGGGTCGAAAATGCCCCTGCTGAAAACACAAACCAAAGTCTGTTTTCTAGAGGTCCCGGAGGACAATTCACTACCCCTGTGGGTCCCACACGTAGGGACACGTTTAGGCTCCGAAAGCCCAACACTAGCAGACCTCCTTCTATGCATGTAGATGACTATGTAGCTAGAGAGAGAAACGATGGGACTACTACTAGCTCTAATGTGATTTCGGTTCCGAGGGTGGGATCCAGTAGTGGCAGACCACCGTCTATCCATGTGGATGAGTTCATGGCACGTGAAAGAGAACGCCAGAATCCCATGATGGGAGTAGTGAAAAACACCACCCCTCCGGAGAGTGAAACAAATTCAGAAAAATTGAATAAATCAAAACAGATTAAACCGGATTTAGACGACGATCTTCAGGGAGTTAATATAGTCTTTGGTGGAGAGGAATCGGAATCAGAATCGGATGACAGGTTGCCGTTTCCACAACCGGATGATAATTTACAGCAACCGGAATCCGTGATTCCGGAGCAGAATTCTCCTCGTTCGATTGTTGAAGAGACGGAAAGTGATGCCAATGAAAGCAGCAGACATTTTGATGAGAAAAGTCAAAGTGATTTCTCATCGAGGATATCGGTTTCGCGCCCTGAAATGTCGTTGACACGCGAACCGAGTATTTCTTCCGAGAAGAAACCGTATTTTGACCTTCCGGAAGATTCTAGAAACGCTCAAATGACATCGAAAACTTCCGGGTTTTCATCCGGGTCTAATTTTAAGAACCCTAATTTGTATTATGACCAAAAATTTCCGTTAGCACAACCGCCTCTTCCTCCAATGCCGCCACCACCTACCGTCATGCGTGATGCTCAGCCTCCAATGCCGCCAGGGTTTCATGTAAGAAAAATTTGTTACTAAATATTCTGATTTTCTTTAGTTGCTAAGCTAACTCTTTTTGATATTTTTGAGTAAATTTGTATATTTTCTCATTTTTGGTCCCAAAATGTTTTCTCTTGCAATTTTGATAATTTATTTTAGGGTTTTGTAATAATGTTTTTGCTTTCCAAGAAAATGACTATTTGTGGGATCAAAATTGCAAAAGTCAGCTGTACTCAGGGACCAAAAATAGTCATTTTACTTGGGAAAGGGACCAAATTAGTTAGAGCCATAAATGTGGACCAAAATTGCAAGAAAAAACGTTTTGGGACCAAAATTGCAAAAATCAGCTATACCTATACTCTTTTTTATATTATCGAGTAAATTATACTTTTGGTCCCTGAGTATAGCTGATTTTTGCAATTTTGGTCCGAAAAAACTTCTCTTGCAATTTTGGTCATTTATTTGAGGTTTTTGTAACGTTTTATCCCTTGTTCCATGAAAATGACTAATTTTGGGACCAAAATTGCAAAAATCAACCATACTAAGGGGGACCAAAAAGTAGTCATTAAGGACTAAATTTTTTACAAGAACCTCAAATGAGGACCAGAATTGCTAGAAAAACATTTCGGGACTAAAATTGCAAAATTCAACTATACTCGGGAACCAAAATTGTAAAATGTAATTTATTTCATATTCTTTTAGCAGGCACACTCTGAATACGCAAGGACGTCTGGTGGGCCCATGAGGCCACAACCACCTCTTCCGCCTACCCCGCCGCCTTACACCGCCGCCTCCTCTTTATCATCTCTATCGTCTTACCCTCCACCACCATTGATGCCGCCAATGATTTACAACAGACCTTCTATTCCTTACAACATGTATGGAACTAATCCGACCCAACAAAATCAAGGTGAAAACCAATTCACACAGTTGCAGCCATTACAGCCACCTCAACTCTCCCGCCCTCCTCAGCCACAGCCGCCACCTCAGCATCTTAGGCCACCGGGTCCCGCTTTGACACAGTTGGATCATGTTCAAATGCAGATGGGTCAATCGAGTCATGTCTATTATCAAACCATGCAACAAGGGCATAATAGTAATCTTCAACAACACACTCAGTTGGATCCTCAACCACAAGGGCATAATAGTAATCTTCTTCAGCAACAAGATGCTAGTTCCTTGTCTCTCCAGCATATTTTCAGTTCCCCTCAAGCCATTCAGGTATTCCATTTTTTATAGTAAGTTACATTTTTAGTCTCTGAGTATAGCTGATTTTTTGCAATTTTGGTCCTTATTCCAATATTTTTGTGACCAAAATTGCAAAAGTCAACCATACTCAGGGACCAAAAGAAGTCATTTATTTGAAACAAGAACCAAAAATGCTAGAACCTCAATGAAGGACCAAAGTTGCAAAAGAAAACTTTTTGGGACCAAAGTTGCAACAAATAGATATATATTCAGGGAACAAAGATGTAATCTACTCACTTTTTAAACTATTTCTTGTTTCTTAGAGTAAATTACTCTAAGAAATCTATTCTAGTCATTTAACTTACATTTAACTTAAAACAGGGACGAAAAGCTACAAAAACCTCAAATAAGGAACAAAATTGCAAAATACAACTTTTTGAGACCAAAAATTGAAAAATTCATCTATATCTAGGGACCAAAAATGTAACTTTCATAGAAAAAAATATTCGGTATTTGTCTAATGGAACATTCATTATGTTTTGTTATTTGTAGGATCTGTTAGGTGATCGTGAAAAACTTGTTCAGCTTCTAGAACAACACCCAAAGTTGATGCAAATGCTTCAGGTTTGATATTTTTCTTACTCTATTATTATTAATTCCAATTTTTTTGAAGAGTCAGAAATGATATTTTGATTTTTTGTTTATATATTTATAAATATGCAGGATAAATTACATGGTTGACATTTTTCAAAAGAGAAAAAGTGCTTGGAATCAATCACTTGGGTGTTTTTATTTCATTTTTTTTGTTCTCTAGAATTATGAGTTTATGTGTTCGTATGAGCTTCATGTTCCGGTGGTGTATACAGAGTCATATACTATTGTTGTAAATTAATTTTTACGGCATGAAATTGTAATTAACAGCTAACCCTTTCATTTATCCTTTTTACTTTCTTCACATAAGTAAATCATATAATTAGTTTTGGTCCTTGAGCAAAATTCTCTTAGATTTGGAAAAGGAACTAAAGTAATTGTTCATTTGCTTTGATTTCAAAAGAATAAAGTATATAATGTTGATATTTTTGTGCGACTATGTAATTAAAATTCACATAATATCATTTGCAAAGATGCAACCTTCCATAGTGTGGTAATAAACATCGTAGGGAGAATCATTATTCATGGTGGGTCAGGCACGAATATAAAGGTGGCCAACATTCTTATTTCTTATCTTCATATCTTCATATGTCAACTAGTGGATATGTTTAAGATACGTATGAGTTGGTTCAACAACTAGTTTGTCACATTTTAATGGCCCAAAAATTCAATCTTGTAAGCAATTGCCATTGATCTTCTTTAAACTACAAAAAAGTTACCTTTGGTGGGAGCTTGATAAAATTTATGTCTTCCTCAAAGGAATCCATACAAGATCACATTCATGATGAACACCAAGTCTCTCGGTGAATATCTTTCATCCATCTTGATTTCTTCTCCTGAAATACATACCACATCACGAACCAGAAAATGATACATCTTACAATTGACATATAACTTTTGTTCACGAACAACTATTTAAACTTGGTGAAGATAAGAAAGATGTTCCTCAATAGTTTTTCTACTGTAAAATCAAAATATCATCAAAGTAAACCATCAAGACAATTGCCAATACTAGCTCCACGACCACGAATCATCAATTCAGTCATTCATACGATTTGCTTTGATATCAAATGATGACTAAACAATCAGATTGTATGTCCATTTACAACCAAAACAGACACAAAGAAAAGTATAAGACAAACCCAATACATTTTTTATTAATAAAGTTCAACCCCAAAATAACTTAGAAAAACAAAATACTTATATGAGAATAAAATAAACTTCTTTCCATAACCCTAGCAAATCGAAATTGATTATAATGACTCTACCCAATTATCTAATCTAAATAAAATATAAATACAAAAGATTCATAAAATCATAAATTATTACGAATGAATGTCATTTTAAGCCATAAACAATCCCAAATGGCTAAAAAACACCATGATGAGTTTTGCTAATTAGCGTGTTTCCCATTGTAGTCAAAGATAGAAAAATTTGAAGCTGTGATGTGTAATCAAATATAGAAAAATTTGGAGCTGTAAATGGGTCGATGAGTAGAAATTTGCAACGTACTTTGGCAGTATTCAAGTGAATGCAAAATCATTTGAAGAGCACCGTAATTCATAGTGCAAATTACATGGGTCGTGTTTTAATCAGAGTAATTAAAATTAGGTTTCATGATTTCGCTTGGAAACATCGTCTTAGAAAATCATTTGGGCACATTATCTTGGCATTTTGTAAGCCAAATTTACATTCTAATTTCTGTTTTAGACTTGCAATAGTTTTTAGCTATTTTAGGCTAAAAACCTAATTATGGTTTTGTTGTAATCATATTTCGAATTAACAGGTAAGCAAAATAATCGTATTTCGAATTAACACGTAAGCAAAGTAACCGGCTCATCTAGTTGCCTTGCTCAAAATGGTGTAATTGACATGTAATTTGAAACTTTAAAGACTAATTGCGTAAAAAAAAACCTTAGTGACCAATTCGGGTCAAAACCAAAATTTTACTGTGCTACGGTGTCATTTTTTCTTATTACATGTTTTACACCCTATTTTCAAAAGGAAAAAGTGCTAATTGGAAATCTTTTTCTCTCCAAAAGTATGAGTTGTGTGTTTTATGTGGTGTATACATATAAAGGAGTTAAGTATTTCTTTGAAACCCTTTCTGTAAATATGTAATTAAGTCCAATCTACATTTTATCTATGCCATCAATTTCTTGAAAACTTTAGTTAAATAATTTATTATAGGTTGATTAAACCTATTTCTTTATATGATTGATCCGTCAACGATTATTGATAAGCTTCTAGCAAAAGAAGAGACGTTAACTAAATCAAATTATAAAGTAGAATATAATAAAAAATTATCAAATTTAACCTTATGATTATGACTTTAATCTGGAAATTTGAAAAGTATTGTCATAGGGATGGGCGGAATCTTGAGTACACATATTTTGCATTAAATTAATCAAGTTCACATTTGTCAAAACTTCAATAAGAAATTTGTAATTATTTAAATAATCCATTTCTTTTAGATTCTAATTTGAAAGTTTGAATCAGGAAAATACTTTAATGAGAAAAACGTTTTAGAGCAAAATGCAAACATGTAATAACAATAAAAAAACTAAAGCATAACAATTTGTTGATAATAATTAATCAACTGTATAATTAATAGTCAAGTAAGTTGATCATCATGTACATATTTTATTTCTTGAATACTCATTCTAGTAATCACTACATAACTTTAATAGATTAACAATCTATAGATCAACATTTATAGAGAGAGATAGTATTAAAGGTGTATATTGATTACTTTGAATACGTATACACTAGTGAAATATATAGACAGAGTAAACTAACATACATGAGCTAATCTAGGAATGATTACAAATAAATTACAACTAGTATTGACTAATATTTACACATAAATAATCTAAATATATAAAAGATTTAATGATATATTAGCTCTTAATACGCCCCTGCAAGATGAATGATCCATCAGAGACTCCAATCTTGGAATGTAAACGTTGGAAGGGACCACATGTAAGAGGTTTGGTCAAGGCATCATCCAACTGATCAAAAGAGTTGATGTGGTGAACTAGCAAGGAGCCATCCATGACTTTTTCCCGAACAAAATGGTAATCTAGTGCAACGTGCTTCATGCGGGAGTGATAAACTGGGTTAGCACATGAGTATGTATCTCTTGTATTGTAACAGTATAAGATAGGAGGTTGCGAGGAATGGATTCCCAAATCGAGCAAAAGGTTTTGAACCCATGCCACTTCGTATACTGCATTAGCCAATGCTTTATATTCTGCTTCAGTGGACGATCTAGAAACCGACTTTTGACGAGCGGACCGCCATGAGATAATGTTGGAGGCAAGATATAACAGGTAAGCGGTGGTGAAGCGACCTACACATTTAATTCCTCCCCAATCAGAGTCAGAGAAGGCTTTGAGATCCATGGATGACCCATGACGGAGAAAGAGACCATGATGGATTGTGCCTTCTAAATATATGAGAATTCTTTTTAATGAATGCCAATGAATTTCGAGGGAGAGTGCATGAACTGTGATAGCTTATTGACAGAAAAAGAGATATTTGTTCTTGTGAATGCCAAGTACTGAAGGGAGCCCACTAACTTCCGATAGGGTGTTGGATCAATGCTTGAGGATATGTCTTGGTATTTGAGAGTAACTGAAGAGTTTAATAGGGTTGCTACCTCCTTCGCTCCATCCATGTGAAAATGTTCCAAAATATCCTGAATATGTCGATGTTGAGAGAGAAAGAGACCATTGGGTGTGGGTATGACTTCAACACCAAAGAAGTGGTGAAGAGAACCAAGATCTTTGATGGAAAAACGTTTGGCTAAGCTGGAAATAAAATCATCTAGGAAGGAGTTATTGTTGCCAGTGAGAACTAAATCATCTATATATACAAGGAGATAGCTAAGTGCTCCGTTGTGGTTGTAGATAAAGAGAGATGGATCAACCCTAGATTTACAAAAAACCAACATAAAGAAGGAAGGCGGTGAGCTCAATGTACCATGTTCGCGGGGCTTGTTTAAGGCCATAAAGAGATATTTTTTAGTTTGCAAATATGAGAGGGAAATTAAGGATGAACAAAGCCTAAGGGTTGACTCATAACGAATTCCTCATGAAGCGTGCCATGTAAAAAGTCATTGTTAACATCCATTTGTCGGAGTGGCCAATGGTAAGAAAGGGCTATGGAAAGGACTGTACGAATAGTGTCTGGTTTGGTGACAAGGATCAAGGTGTCACAGTAGTCCTTACCATATTGTTGAAGAAACCCTTTGGCAACCAAGCGGGATTTGTATTTTAAGATGGAACCATCTGGGTTGCGTTTGATTCGAAAAATGCATTTGCATCCAATTGGAGAATGAGAGGCTTTAGGAACTAGTCCCCATGTACCATTTTGGATCAAGGCATTGAATTCTTGATCAATGGAATGATGCCATTGTGGATCTTTAAGAGCTTGAGTATGAGTAGTAGGTTCATCAGTAGTTGGAATTGGGTGTAGTGTGGCTGAATTGACAAAGGATGGGTTGAAATATTTTGGATTTTGTTTGTGAATGCCGGGTAGAGTAGGTTGTGGAGGAGAAGGAGTGGGGCTGTTGTGAGGAGTTGAGATAGCAGAGAAGTCTGAGCTGGGTGAAGAGGAAGTAGGTAATGAGGGTGAGGTATCGGGTGTAAAGCGGTGAATAGTTTTGTTGAGAGAGATATTTAGAGGAATGGATGTGGAGGTTTCTGTGACAGGAGGAGGATGAGGAGTGGGTGATGTGGGAGGTGTGGTTGATGTTTTTGATTCAGTTGTAGGTGTGGTGGGTGGAGTGAGAAAATGATCAGGTGTGGGAAGAGGTTCTTCATATGGGACTTGAGTGGAAGGAAATTGATCAGTGAGAAACTCGACATGGCGAGAGTGATACAAACGACGTGTTTTAAGGTCAAAGCATTTAAAGGCTGACTTGGAAGAGGAGTAGCCAAGAAATATACATGGAGCTGATCATGGTTTTAATTTGGATGATGTATACGGACGAAGCCATGCGTAGCATAAACATCCAAAGGGTTTGAGTTTGGAGCAGTTTGGGGTTTTCTTAAAGAGACACTTATATGGAGATTTATTGTTTGAAATAGAAGTTGGAAGTCTATTTATGAGGTACACGACTGTTTGAAAAGAGTGGGACCAGAAGGACAGGGGAAGTTAGTGAAGTAATGCTAACCCTATTTCAACAATGTGTCTATGCCAACATTCATCAATTCCATTTTGCTCAGGGGTATGTGGTGGATTGGTGTAGTGAGAGATACAATGAGATTGAAGA